CTCTTGCTCTTCCTTTCTTGATCTTCGCCATCTTCTGCTGCCGGACCTTACGTTTATTTAACGCACGTTATATACTACTTATATGAATATAAGTAGCTCACACCACATAATGATTTATTTTGGATAATACACCCAAGTCATATAAATCAAAAATACCATTTATGACTAATTATTTCATTAATAAGGAGCTCTACAACATCTGTCTGGAGAATAATAATCCTCTAACGACTTCCTGACATAATTTACAACTAACTACTAAATAACCGATGTCCTTGAACGATATAGTACATTTTTCACTTCAACAGAAACACACTTTGCCAAAAGTATCATACCAAAACTGTTTAAAAAGAAGACTAACTCTCCAGAAAAAAAACAAAACAAACGAAAATGCAATTGTTCAGTCTGGTCAAGATCACAGAGATCTAAAATATTAAGAGAATAAACAGACTGTTATAAAATTCTCCACAAAAAGAGAAAATTATACCATTCTGAATATATTCGCAAAACTTCTATAGAAATCACCATAAAGCTTATAAAAATTTTTATTACATTTTACACAGACCGAAAAACAAAGTAGTAAAATAAAATATGGAGTACCATTAAGTAGAAAAAGTACTGTTCTGGACAAAATGGACTTCTCTTTCAACTATGTAAACACGAACAGACTAACAGTGAAGGTACGTGATACATCATTTATATAAACACAAGCGAACAACTATAGACACAGATATAACTGGGAAAATGTTTGGATCCTGAATAACGGAAATTCCAAGAAGCCCAAAGAATTTCTGTAAGCAGCTAGTGAGACCATCAAGTACAGCCGGGGACCTGGGATATATATCTATATACGTATATCATCTCGAGGTGCTATACCACCATATCAGCAAGTCAGTCAGCTACAACGTAAGACCAGGCACATATATGCATTGGTCCAAGTTGCCACACCTCATTAACACAAGAAGATGAACATCGGATCCATAGAAGTAGTTAATTCAGTGGTGGTAATATATAAAAGAAAGATTGCATATAAGGATAACAAAACAAATCCTAGCGTAGTAGAAGTATTAGTAGTGTCAGTAGTAACAGAAGAGATTAGGTGTAGAAAAAGTAGAAAAGATATAAGGAGATTTCAGAATTTAGATTCTAAAACAAGGCAAGGAGTGAGTGAATCTGCGCCACGTTTATTACACTTATAGTCCAGAGTGACGACAATAGTCTATCAACGAATCTAAAAAAAAAACTACCTTGTATAAGTATAACGTATGGGCAATTAACTTAATTTTGACTTGTAAAAATCATCAAAGAATAAATAACTATAAACCAGATAAAACGACTATATTTATCACAAAAAAGTTATCCGATTCATCCCAGTTTATGATGAAAATTCACATGGATCTTGTTATGACTTTATGTTCAGCTTTTTATCACATGATTTATCCACCAATCAAAATACGACTTATACAATCTTCGCACTGTGCGAAAACCAATGACGTCCGACCGGTATGAGCAGCTTAACGTCCTGATCGGTTCTATATCCTCCTAACCCGTCCACTTGAGTCCAGAACACAATACCAGCTTCTGTAGTATGAATCGAATCATTTATTTCAGACATACCGGGTTTAAATATCAACGAAACAGACCGCAACGCACCATAAAATAGGAGATAACATTTATACACAATAAAGCCAAAAAGTGTTTGTGAACGTGGGAGATTGTAATAAATAAACTGAGTATAACTTAGGAACAGTAAATCGTACAATAATAATTTATAAGTCAAAATGAAGCTCTGTTTATATACTAATCAAGCAGACCACATCGTACCATAAAATGGAAAATAACATTGTATGATATTGACCAGTAGGAAAATGACACGTGAAATAAGTACTGACCAATAAGAGAATAATACCATCTCCAAGTCTAAGAATAGCATTAGACTTGATAGAATAATTTTTGGGATATTTTCCCCATAGTTATAAAGTTCAAAAGTAACAGAACCAAAATTACGAAAATTAAAAAACAAAAAAACAAGTGAAAGTATGAAAAATAGTTCTTTTGAAGGAAATCTTATACTGATGGCCAGGGTAGAGGAAGTGATTGTACGATTCTCTTTTGAATACAAACGTCAGGTTTGTGAATATGGATCGCGATGGCTTCCGCAATGTGCAAGAGGCACACTCGTAAACCATGTGGCAAATTTGATGGGATATTGTAGATAATCTTAAAAGCTTTATTCAATTCAACTTGATGACCTGTGTCAACCAAGTGAGAGAGAGAGAGAGAGAAAAAAAAAAAATAGAACTTTTAATCCCTTTTACCTGTCCTTTGCTTACCCATGACGGATAACATTATTCAGTTAATTTGGCTCAGAAGTTACTCGTGATTTAATCTTCAATCGGATATACCAGAAGATTTCAAAATGCACAATATCTCATTATTATTATTGAAGTAAATCATAGCTATATGTTAATTATTAACATTGAAAATAGATATCTCAAGTCTGGAATGAATCGATGACCTGAAAAGTCGGCTAAAAATCGAGTTGATTTAATAACTTTGTGCATAATCGTGATTTAATCTTCGCTCGGATATAATAGATCTTTTTCATGATAATTCATTTGTTCAAAGAATTATTAAGAACAACAGAGAGAAATACTGTATGTAGTCATTTCTTATTTATCGAAATACTTCAAAAGTACCTTGAAGATTAGAGTTATATATTTGAAATAGTGAAAGAATACAAAAGAAGATTTAAATGAATGAATAGATGATCATTGATGATAACTAAACATTTGTCAATTATGAACAATAAAATCATAGTAAAACAACATGATAAAAGTGTACGGACAAGTTTAAGCAATTCTCAAGATGATCATCTGATCATGAAGACACTTTCAACCAAAAAGCAAAGAGTTTGTACAAATCAAAAAAGTATTAAACAGTAGAGATAATAAACCGTGTTAAAGTTTTATCATTTTTATACATTTGCTACTTTATCAAAGCTCATTATTAGTTATTTCTAACCTTATTATTGTAGAAATGTTGTTACGTAACTTCATGAATCCAAGTGAATATAATTTCACACTGAAATCTTCAATCTAATTCTTTCATAAAGTCAAAAATCTTTTATAAAACAATTTGTTGAAGATTTACAGAAATAGGATAATGCTGGCGTTAAGTTGAAAAATGAAATTCATCAGTCAGTCAGTCAGTCAGCTACAACGTAGGAACAGGCACATATGTGCATCGATCCAAGTTGTTATACCACATTAGCACAACAAGATGAACACCAAATTCATAGAAGTAGTTAATTCAGTGATGGTAATATATAAAAGAAAGATTGCATATGAGGATATAATACAGGAAAGAAGAATCGGTTGGTAGAAGAAAAAATATGAAGCGATTTTCATCTCATAGTTTGAAGGAAGACAAAGGCTAACACTACAAGTTAGTAACTTCAAGCACTGATCCCACGTTTTTGTTTGACCGCCCCTAAATTTCTTCCTGCTATGCCTAACACTAGTCACCATTGGACGTCGTGGTAATCGGTGTTCGGGCATACATAACACGTGGCCCAACCATCTCAGTCAATGAAGATTCACAACCTCATCAACTCATTTACCATCATCATTCCCTAATATCCTGCGTCTAACCTCACTATTACTTACCCGGTGATCCCAGTAGATCCAAGCTATATTTGTAAGACATCTGTGATCAAATACTAGTAGCTTACCAGTATCATCGACTCTTAATGACCATATTTCGCTGCTATACATACATTTAAAGTAATCATTATTTTGACATTCCTATTTGATTAATTCGTTGTTGTATTTACTAAGCTAATCAATACAACTAAGTCAATTGAACTAAAACCTGATTAATAAATATATTATGTAATCATTGTAAATAATAAAAACTGAATGCGCTTGATACGTTTAACATTCATATGACAACAACAACAACAAGAAACAAATAAACAAACAAAAAAGAATTTTCTCAGAACAATTTTAAGAATTCTAATAATAATGCAAAATTATTCACATAGTAAATTACATATGATGAAACTTAGTCACTTTTGGAATTTCACACAAAAGTTTGTAAATTATATTAAAGATATTGTATGAACTCATTTCTTAGAATAATGATGTTCAGGAGGATGAAAACGGTATCATTGAAGAATTAATCTGAATTCAATAATTCCAAGTACAACTTACACATTCGAATTCATAACATTGAAAAGAGTAAAATGAAATTGTGCGCAAAAATATCATTGTTCACACATAAATACATACACACACACAGATGAAATATACTCTGACGACAGTTAGTGTGGATTTCGTAAATAACTATGCGTGAGGGGATGCTTCATGCTAGGAAGACTTCAAATGATCTAATTCGCCTTATCTTGGTTTTATCGACAAACTGTTACTCTAATGAATAAACAAGTCAATTGTAACTTTTTTTTCTCAATTCACATAACTAAACTGACAGGTTATTATGGTTTTGCTATATTTTGTTATCGATTCAGGTTAGACTGATGACGTGAAAATTCCTATGATTGGAGTTAAAATGCCGTTGAAAACGAAGAGTGAGTAAATATACCAAGATAACAATACTAACAACAAGTACGACAATTATATTGAATCAGTTGCAATAAGGATAATGTATGGAGATGATGAAAGTTCTAACGCGCTAAGATTAAGTCCTGAGTAAATCATTGTCATCATTGAATAAATAATCACTACCGACAAGTTGATTGAAAACAATCATCATTTTTTGTCCAACTTATCCATTATGTACTCAGGTATGAAAGTCTATGATATCAACTGTATGCCCGAACAGAAGTAAATAAAGCAGGGTTCGAACCCGAAACTTAGTGTCGAACCTCTGAACCATTGAGCAACCGCTCCACAACATCATCATAATATCAAGAAAATCTGTCAAACAACAACTACTTGTAAGGTATATTAAGTAATGTGATGATAGAACAGATGAGAACTTACGGATTCTCTTCTGAATATGGAACAGCTGGATTTAATTTAATTGTTTGTTGTTCATTACCATTCTGCTTACTAGGTGACGATGATGAAGATGATGCTGACGAAGAAGACTTGTCAGCTGACTGTTTGACCGGTGAATTTTCACTACTACTAGTTGTTGGAGTAGTTAGTGAGCTGAAATAGTTCACAATAGTCCCAATAATAATAATAGTAATAACGATTATGACAATGATAGTACTACGAATGACTAACTACGATCAACATCACTACATACAGAAAGGATATTAATAAAATATAAACTAAGCAAAAGCTGGTAATAATTATATCGATGTAAGTAACAAGAGAAACAGTCAAGGGATTAATTCAAAGAAATGATTCAAGGAATTATAGTGAGAAGCTATGAACAGTGGAATCCAATCAAATGTGAGTGATTGAACGATAGGTTAACAATATCACGAGATACCACGACAGAACAGATATCAAGTGCTTTATAGTTTACATGGTTTATTTATAAGTAGTATGTTGTGGAACGTGGTGTCTAAGTTTCAATAATCGTCAGACGGAGTGAAGAGTCTCAGTACAGAGAAAGCACAACGTAAGCAAAATACTTGGAGAGCAGACAAGAAGACAGTTCAGATTGCAGAACACATCGAAATATGCAAATGGATAATTGAAGGCTATGTACATGTATTATGTAAACGCTTTGTAACTTCTCACAATAAATACAGATTCTTTCTGCATATTGCCTTATTTTACAGTCTAAGTACAGTAATCAATTCAAATAAATTAACCAACAACGAACCATCTTAGTCGGGTAAGTGAAGATTAACTATACAAACTACTCAGCTAATATACATCCACAAATTGATAATATGCAAAAATACGTTTATCGTTTGACAGAAAGTCACTATCAGACATAATACGTATAAGAACAAAAAACCTTACTTTGGTATATTTGACATTGGTGGTGCTCTAGACAATGGACATTTCAAACCAGGTGACTGGGAATCTGAACCATTCGGGCGAACCTTATCTGACATACTAAAAGTATTCATACGTCGTACAGATAATTGATCACCACCACTAGAGGATTCTATCATTATATCTTTACTTTCATCGATTTTCTCTTGACCAGAAGAATCATCCAGATTAGAGTCATTAGCACGTTCGCGTAGGTCAGATACACGAATACGTGGAAGCAGATGAGATCTACGTGAGTATTTAGAAAGCAAATAAAAAAAACGAAAAAAATTAAATAAATACAAAAACAATAATGCTAACAATGTTGGAATTAACCAATCACCGCATAAGCAACAAAAGTCCGCTTATATCTACGCTAGTATCTGTCAGATATTAGCAACGTTGGATCTGGTACATGTGTGTATCTGTTCAAGTCGTCACAGCACATAAACATAGAGAGCTAAATTATTAACACAAATATTAAAAGTAGTAACATTATCAGTGATAGTAGAAAAGATTAGGCATAAGCAACATGGTTCAAAAAAGAATAAATTAGAGGAATAAAAAGTTTAAGTTTCTAGACAACGACTGAATGCATCTATGCCGTTACAACTGATTCTGAGCCAAGCTATTCAATGGCTTTAACCTTTTGTTACTGTTATGATGTGGAGTCTGTGTATTGATACTTATACAAAATTTTCTTACACATGAACATGTACTATATATATATATATATATATATATATATCAGAAAAGTAGTCCGCCAATGGCTGACGTCGCATATCTAGGACAAATTTTCATTATCGTTCCACGACGAAATAGTTGTCTAGTGTTTCCTGGATTTAACTGGTTTTTAATATCAATGATATAAATCATAAATGTTAATAGTGTTCTTCAAACTAAGTTACTTCATAAACTGATAGAGTTAGAAATATAGGAAGAGTAAGAGTTAGCAAAGAGGATCTCAACCGGAACGGTATGAAACAATAGTCCACGTTATATATCATCAAGTCACTAGATTTTGTCTGTTTCTGTGACAAAGAAAATTTTCAGACAAAAAAAAACTCAGTACAAAATGATCTTGATGACGTCATTTTCACTGAAACTTGACACTAACTGGTAGCTAATGTAAACTTTTGGTAAACGATAACAAAGTTGAAAATGATACTTATTTTTTAATGGTAAAACGTGATTAGCTAAAAACAAACCAAAAAAACTACCTGCTTCAATTTGGGCATCGAACAGTATCACAGCCCATACACAAATCAAGTGACTTATGTGGCGCACATGAACAGTCACTATGAAAATGCATCTATCACGTTATATCGCAATTTTAATTTCATTATGGACGGTTATAAAATTTATGTGTTTGATTGAAATACTGACCGCAGTTCAGGCTGAAGCAGGAGATCTACTCGGGAAACCTTTCTTCTGAGAATTAGGACTAATGGATATACCAGTGAAACAAAGTTAAGATAGATCGCTCCAGGATATCCGTAGATAAACCAAAGTCCGTACCATTATTTCTTCCCTACAGATGTTGATCCAACGTACAACGTTAATATGGAATCAAGGTTTTTCAATTTCCTCAGATGCACCTACAATACGCACTAGCCCGGTTTAGGCATGGAAGACTGGCCATTCTTTCTTTTACTTTCGCAAAAAAACTAACCCACAATGTGAAAGGAGTAAGAAGAGTTTCGCGAGTGATCTCATGACAACATTTACAGATGTGATTTTACCCAACTAATAGACATCTAGAATAAACCAAATCTATTTTAAGCAATCACAATACAGTAAGATACGTAGAAGGTACATCGATTTACAACGATGTGTAAAATCCTGTCTTTGTCAAGGAAAAAGAAAAGATTGAGATTACAGCAATGTCTACTTTAAGTATATGGTAAGTCGATTTGTTATAGCATTATTATCACTGATACGAGTATTATTATTCTGTTCATTATCTCATTGTATTAAGGTAATGTAGATCTATGTACTTATATGCACCAGGTTCGATAATGTTTAGGATTAACAGATCAAAGTATTAACATCATCTGTTTCAAAATAAGCATATTTCAAGTAGGCTAAATATGTATTATAGCCTATTGACAATAACCAAAACAAGAGTAATCATACTGAACAACATATTAAATAGTTTTATGACTAATATAATCATTATTGAATGAATTGACTGAATTGAAAAAAGTTGTATTATTTGTTTTTCTTTGAGATATTATCTAAAACAGTTAGTAAATAGAGTAGTCAGTAAGTCAGTCAGTTTGGAACGCTGTCAGAAGTATGAGGACGATTATCACTTCCCGGTTGCCCACACCGTGGAAGGGTTCTTCTGTAGGTACCTCAAAAGGAAAATGGATTAAAGGTGGTCTTAGTGACCTGAGAGTGTGACTGCACTACCCAAAAGACAACTTGCTTGTGGTCGGTCACACACGACGTTTTTGAGGGTAGTGGGTAGTCAGTGAAACATAGATTGAACAGTAGTATTCAAATACGATATCTTTGAGGAGGCATATTTAAATATAAACACATAAGCACAAAATACATGAAATGAGAAACAATTGCTGATGATAATAATAATAATAACTCACTTTTCATCTACACTAGATTTCTCTTGCCTATTCGCTGTTGGACCAGCACTTGCACTGGAATTAAAAAAACATTGAAGCGGTTTTCATGAAATAACAAGAGGATTAATCAGGGAGAGCTGAATCATTCAGAGGATCACACCAGACATTCAATCACAGTTAACTCAATCAGCTTAAGTTGACATATCACACAAATAGAAAGGATACTAACAAGATAATTAAACACATACATACATACATACATACATACATACATACATACACACTGACATTTACATGAATTTATTTCAGTGGTGAAGTGTGAAAATTCAATTGATTTGCTAACCTTTGTTTCATCCAAGAGATACCACTGATCCGTCGTACTCCATTATATTGAGATCCACTATCGTCTTGTCCAGATTCTTCTAGGTGAAAAAAAAACAGGAGAGATCAAAAAGTACGTTACAACTCGAAGTGGAATAATTTAAAACTAGATTTAATTCATGAAAGAAAAACCAGTTGAGAAATATATAGACAAACAATAAGCGATAACTTTTCATAGGTTAAACAGTTAGGATAACAGATTAAGAAAATATAAAAGGATTGATATTTTGGACACAAGAAGAATTCAATCATGAACAAAGTCAGTATGAATGTTATGAGGTAGTTGTGCAGTTGTTACATTCCAGATTTTCAACTTCTTAAAAAGATACTTATACCGGAGGGACTTGAAATAGAAACTGAGTTTGTAGTAGTCTCGACGACCATTGAACATAACCATATGGATTAAATGGCAACTGCATTATGTCAGCCACATAAGACCATCTTGTAAGTAGTCTTGATGCATTAGTTTTGCACATTTCATGCCCTACTAGATTTGAACCCAGGACCTATCAGTTTCTTGCGCAAGCGCGTAACCACTAGACCACTGAGCCCGTATCCAACGGTGTTAATATATATTTTATTTATTTATTTGAACACATAAATATTGGTACAAGAGTGCGCCGAATATATATGCGCCACACAAAACAATGAGAATACGAAGAAGAAAAGGGAAATGAAGGTAAGGAGCGCAAAAAAAGAACAATAACGAACAGATTAGTGTAAGGTAGTGTAATAATAATATTAGTAATAATGGGGGAACGGAAAGGTACAATCAGAAGAAATCTTTCAGTTAAGGAAGATACAGCCACTTTTTACGAAGAAAGTAAAAGGTTACATCAAAATCGCCACTGGCTTCTATTCTGAGCCATATCCGATAACGTCTCTAGCCACTGTGTAGCACCATCTCTCGAAACCCAACCAGGGAGTCGTGAAGGACCAACACAAGCCAGTCCTTTGCAGCTTTCTTTCATACCACGACACCATGTCATGCACTGACCACCTCTCCGCTTCTTCCAACCAGTCCCAGAGTCGGCAAATAATGCACGACGTGGAATTCTCTGGGACGACATTCGTAGAACATGTCCAAACCACCGAAGTCGATGTTTCAAGATGGTGACACCAATTGAATTATCATCTCTGTGCCCGAACACACGATGCCGAACCTCTGCATTACTGACATGGTGTTGCCACTGAATGCCAGCGATCCTTCGGAGACAGCGATGATCGAACACAGAGAGTCGTCTAACATCCTCAGCTCGGAGAGACCAGGTTTCACAAGCATAGAGCAAAACTGCTCTCACCGACGCGTCGTAGATCCGGCCTTTTACAGCCAGACTAACATCACGAAGGCGCCAAAGGTGGCCCAGATTGGCATAAGCCGCTCTGGCTTTCACTATTCGTGCATTGATCTCATCACTCACAACCTCCCAACACTTATGCAGCTACCCAGATACACGAAAATCTCGACTACTTGTATCTGCTCACCATCCAGGGTGAATGCAGGATTCGCTTTTCGTGTTTTTAATTTCGTAAACAATAGTAATGCTGCGAGAAGGCAGTGACTGTATGCATGTGACCATGTGGAAGCATGTTTCGAAGGAGAGCCGACTCTCTCCACCATCGACCGTACTCAAATACTGAGTATACACCACAGCAGATGAAAACTGATAACAAGTCAACTGACGATCTACGCTTACAATTTACAAATGTGAGTAAATGAAGTACCATTTAAAAAAGTTGATAAATGAATGGAAATTAAAACAAATAAAACTACAGTCAGACTAAGTTGTTGCATCATTTCGTGAAGTCATTAACCATTGTACTAAACCTTTTTAGATATTTATTTTCCTTGAGTCATATTCTGTATGTAAGTAATTTTCTAATACAACTGCTACTATTCTGTCTTAATCATTCCAACCTCCTATGTTAATATCGTGTAACAATTTGAACTGATCAATTTATCCCCCCAAGTTTACATGTCACTTAATAACTAAGTAAGAAAAGTTCCATCACGAATCTATACTTTTATTATGTATAAAGGTTAATAGATGATTCTGTTGTATGTGTAGAACAGGAATCAGACCAGAGACTGTCATAACTTGTGGTCTGTGTGTCCCGTTAATGTATAACGTGATGATACAGCCAATTGGAGAGCAGTGAATTATCGACTGGACCAATGACACATAAAAACCATGCGAGCAGTCTAGAGTTCTGCTTCCAGCCTAGCTCAGCCAGTTACGTCCAGAACACCAAACTCAGCCTCTGACATATGAATAATTGATTTCAAACATACTGGGTTTATATATCAACCAAATAGACCACATTGTACCATAAAACAGGAAACAACATTTGTACACGAATTAGCCAAATGTGGCTGTGAATGTGGGAGATAGTAAGTGATAGACAGAGCATAAATAAAGAATGGTAAATCGTATAATAACAGTTCATAGGTTAAAATAAACCTTATCATAAGAGCAACATGACTATGAATAGTTCAATGACTGAAAAATTATACGATAAAAATATATCCATAGTATTGTAAGATAAATGGATCCCAAAAGTTACTAAATGTCCTTGTACGACGGAGTGTGGTGAGAGTCCGCTCTCCCTCTCGAAATGCTCTCACATGACCACACGTATATAGCCTCTGCCAGGGAAGTCCTAATCACTGACTTCTCATGGCGGAGATATTCATTATGAAATTGATAGAACGAAAAGCGAATGTCCAGTGTTTTAACCGTGTTGTTGGACACGGAGAATCCACCTAGGGAATTTGAAAAACCCCGATTACAATTCACTGGTGTACATGGGACTAAACCTTCTTACGATGCTCCATTGCCTTGTGGATCAACCCTTTAGGTCGAAGGTGTGGCACCCAGGCAGTATCACATCCCTCATACAAATCAAATAAGATTTGTGTGGTGCATATGTATCTGGTGCCTCCTTGTACCAATAACTATGTGTCCACATAAATAAATAAATAAACACATAACTTATCGGGATATAACAAGATCGATTAGTCTAAATCTAAATACATTAACCATAATCTTTATTGTTACAGTTTATTACATTTTTTACAAATTGACATTGTGTAAAAGATGAATTGGATTGTCTTTATTACAAAAAAAAATGTGATCAATAATCTGTACCACTACTATTTGACGAATATACATAAATCAAATTATAGGTTAGTGTGGATGTGTGTGTATGTGTGATTGGGGGGAGTGTTCTTTTGTGTCGTTTTCGTTACAAACTACATTTGAATAGACACTAAACGATAAACTGTAGAGTAAAAACAAAGGTGAATAATCTTAAATTACTCATAATAGACAAGTAGAATACAATTATGAAGTGAAGTGAATTGAGAATACATGTGTCCATGTATAATAACACAATATTTATATGCTAATGAATTCAGCAATTCATCAAATACATTAGTTCAGTCAATGTTTAATTTTATTGTTATATAGTTTAGCATTGCTAGAATTTACGTGATTTAACCAAATTATGGTTTACAAGTGAAAAAGATTATTCAAAATAAAATCGTTAATTAAGATTTGAACTATTCTTCACCTTTTCAGTCAGTCAATCAGTTACAATATAGGACCAGGCACATATGTGCATCGGTTCAAGTTGCCATACCTAGTTCATGTGTTAACGCAGACTAGTCCTGAAGCAACAACTTGCATTTAGAAGGGGAGAAACGCATCTCAAATATTCTGGCATTGTTGCTCAGTGCTATCACAAGACTGTATTTTATCATCTTCTTCACCAAACAGGACTATGTCATCTGCGTATTCTAAGTCGATAAGTGAACCTCCTGGAAGGAGATCAATGCCTGAGAATTCAGTCGATGAGATCGTTATTTCCATCAGTATGTCTATGATGAAGTTAAACAAAAGTGGAGAAAGTGGACAGCCTTGAATGACACCACTTGAGGTTGCAAAAGCAGATGACAGTTCGCCATAAGCTTTGACTCGACTGATAGTGTTCAAGTAAAGAGCTTTCACAAAGTTCAACTACTTCTGAGGTACGCCTTTCAATGACAGACACTGCCACAGAATCTCGCGTTCTACATAGTCAAATGCTGCCTTCAAGTCTAGAAAGAATAGATTAGTAGCATAACTAACCTGTATATAATTAGTCTAGATTAAATACTTAAATAATGAGTTACATTAAATTTAAACGATGTACTAATATACAAATACAAACAAAATGTCACCTGCAAACGAAGTAGTATCGTTTAAGATGTTGGTTATTTAGAACATTATAACAATATTATACAGCAAACAGTAGAACTTCACTTTCGTTCAAACTGCATAAACGCTAAGATAGTGTTAAATAAAAATGTCTGGTTGCTATGGTGGAATATTGTAAACAATGAAAATACATACATATCAATTATTATGACCCAGTTACTCTTATATTGCTAAATACTCATGGACACGACTTCATTTGACATGCCCATAAATCGGAACACGGTTGGATGGAAGTAGGAATCATATTAAAAAAAACGTCAATATATTTATAATTTTTACATAAGATTCTAATGACCTCTCCAATCTCCGTTAGCGCTGTTTGGTTAAGAAATAACCAATCAGTGTGCTTCAATAGTCCTGGACGGAACAGTATTTAACCTAATCTACACCCCACTAATAGTAATACATTTAGAAAAAATTGAGTGTCTACCTTAGATTTACACAATGATCTACTTTATGGAGATTTTAATACTACTTATTTTCCACTTAAAAATGTTCATCACGATTTTAAGTACGTATTGACAATGTAGTTTTAGTGACCAGAGAGCAAATTAGTCACACACACAAAAAAACAGACACATCATATCACTGATTGATTTTGGCAAGACAATTATTGAAGGTGACTTAGTTATCTACACTGATAACATACGATGATTTTTGTGTTACAAATCGACATTGGTTATAAATAGCTGTCATGATTACGAGAATCAGTAGTTAGTAGTAGTGTTCAGCTCATTACAAAACATGAAAGCTCTCAGTTTATTCTTATTTATAGATAATGGTAGGGATTATTTAGTTCATAAATAAGATAGAGCAACTATTTTTCTATGATTCGATAGTTAACATCACGTAATGACAATAAATGGACAAACACTGAAAACTAGGCAGTAATGAGTATGTTTATACGAACATTCGTCAAGATTAGAATGAATAGTTTGACAGTAATTGAGCGCCGAGTATAGAGAAGTTATTATATGTGAAAATTATATTTGAAATATTCTCAGCAATTTAAATAATTCCAACGTTTCGTCCAGCTAACTTATCTGGACTTCTTTAGGGTAATAATCAAAATCATCAAAGAAATATATAGCTATTTTACTGTGTTAAATCAATCATATTTGGATGTTGATTTATGTAAAATAGGATCGAATGAAGAATTCAACTACATGGAATGAGTGTGTTGTAACCTAATATGAGACTTTTCCGCAATACATATCGTAAACCCACCAGGGAATAACCCCAAGACTATTATGTTTTGAGTCGAGCATTTAAAAACAATCAAATAACATTTAATGGTCAACATAATTGATTTCAATCAATTCATAATAATGAACCATGTTTCAATGTTCTTATTGATAAATTACTGCCTCACATTTAATAAAGTGGTACTGCCTTGGTGACACATTTACATTAGAATTCAAAGAATTATCTCTTACAATTAGTCACTAATGTAATACATGATTGTTATGAATGCAAGAAAGAATATCGACAACATTTAATAATATTCAGGTAAAGAAAGAGTTAGAGTTTGGGGAAGAAATTATAGAATAACAATAATCATTATGTAATATATCGATAATCAATACAAATCAATAAAAAAAGGAACAAAGAAAAAACGATATAAACATGTAAATAATTTTTTGTAATTTTCAGCAAGAGAATCTAACTTATACAAAAGCTCAAACATGTGCGCACACACACGCCAGAATGAGAACAATTGCATAACAACAACAACAAAAATAATAATAATAATCAGCAAAAAAAACTTTTTTTTGAATCAGATCAATAAAACTAATTTCCTTCGATCGTATAGCCAGAGAGAGAGAGGGGGAGAGTAAACGAGTATGTACAATAAAGAGAAAAGAGTATATTTTGGTTGTTATTACTTTTCCATAGAAATAAAATAAATTTTATCGATTAAATGTATGCAATATAGAAACAATCAAATAAATGATAATAAAAATGGATAAATTGTTTTATGTACTTGGAGAAATCGAGGTGTGTGTGTGTGAGAGAGAGTGTGAAGACCAACTGAATTACATAAGTCATTTTATACAAAAATGCATTATAAATTGATTCTAGCTATGCGAATCAGATGTTACCACAGTAAGTAGAGTGAATGTAAGATAAAAGACTATTTCAATGGAACCTCCACTATGTCCACTTTAAAATAACTTAATACAACCTTAAAACTATTGAGAAAACCAAAACAAACAAACAATTTATTCATCGCTTCCACTAACGATGATTTAGCCATATCCAGTGGAAACAAACGGCGTATGAACCAATCGTTGGTCACCGGCTACCATGAAACTGCATGTACTCACGATGCTCCACTGCCTTTTGGGTTAGACATTTAGGTCAAAGGCTCGGGGTGTGGCCCCCTAAGAAAACCACCTGCTTCGGTTTTGGGCACCCAGACAGTATCACAGCCCACATACAAACGTGTGACGCATATATATTTGGTGCCCTCCTGTACCAATATTTATGTGTTCAAATAAATAATATATATACATATGTTGGTATTAGTATGTTTATCTGATATATCCTCAGGATATGTCATTCACAAAGCGAATTCTGTGGTATCTCTCTAATTTAATAGCATGAGTGAAGTTTATAATTTCAAATTGTAGATCACTAAAAATCTAATCATTTAGTTGATATTAGTCAAATTTCCAAGATACCATTCCATTACTTTCTATCTAATAAAAGATAAGCTTGTTGTTGAACAAATGAGTCTACATTTTGATTGAAATTTCAGTTTAATTCGTTTACCGTAAACAGAGAGGTCGTTTTATTGATTCGAGTAGGATAACACCATTGAATATCAGATTTCGAATTGAAATTCAATCACACTTGAAAAATTAAAATTAGTTCAATAAGAAGATGCAATGTAAAACTTGGGCACAGGATTGTAGTCTTAAGTAAAATTTTAGTATTATAACTCTCTTTAAGTCAATGAATAACTTGAGTACTTTAAAAACCGTTCTGTATTAGATTTAAATAGGAGATAATTGTTTAATGGTTAACAAACAAAATTATATGGATTCGAACCCATTCTATCGAATTTGCTTCAGACATCTATGTAATATTACTAGACCACCTCATAACTGAGAAATGTGTATAACTCAAACAGTAGATAAGTATACTAATGCTTGTTCAATTGATAAGTAACACATTGAAATATAATCAAATTCATCTATTTGAAATTATGCAAAGCTGAAAATAGTTTTTTTAACAGTAATAAAACTCGGAACTATTCAGCTACCACGTCAATTTTCTCTCTCTCTCTCTCTCTCTCTCTCTATATATATATATATATATATATATATATATATATATATATATAGTTAATGAATTAATGTAGTTACACAATGTTGTGTTTGTCATATTATCTATGATTAAGATTCAAAGGAATTTTTGAAAGTGATGTAGCTGCTACGTTGACAAGTTTGTTGCTTATGTTTGTCTCGATGACCCAGTCGAGCTATATTAGCTGAAACAATTGCTTTAGGTCTTACCACCCCAGTAAATTCATGGTCCTAGGGAGAAAGAGCACTCCCAACTGTATTCGATAATATGATGGCAATAATATATGTTCCTGAGAGTAGAGGCATCTTAAACGATGATGCCTTCCAAAAGCGGGTGTGTAGAAAAAGCCGTATCTTAAATATCCACATCATAACATCCCCAACAAATTCCCGATGTAAGCCGAAACACCTTACAAATACAGAGTTTCAATCAGTTCTTTCCTGGGCTTGCACAAATCATCATTCACTTATTTTCCTTAATAGGTTGCACGAGAAGTATCCTTGAACTATGAAGTCGATTTGTATGTGACAAGTCTCTCTCTCCCTACCAAACTCTTGAAACCACTCAAAATCATCTTATCTATGAGTGTATATTATCAAAATGATGAGATGAGATAGTAGTATAGTACGATAAAGAACTGATTACTTACTACTAGAAGACGGTTTTTAGGAATACATGCACAAATCTCTAGCACAAAATAGTGTATACCACAAATACACATATAATAAATTAACTTTTTGATGAAACAAAAGATGACACGTACCATTTAGTACTGTTTCGGCAATTAGATAGGAAAATAAACATTTATAAAACATTGTGGCTTAAAACAGATAATATAAACCTGTATTGGTGAAAAATGAGATACAATTATTTCCACACATATTTCTATTTCATGTGTAGGACGTTGTGTATCTAGTAGATTGCAGTTAAACTGTAAGTAAATTTTATTTCACAACTCACTACTACTGTGGTGTGAGTTATTTATATCCACATAAGTAGTATATAACAGCAGACAGGGACAGAATGTATTTCAGTAGGAAAGAACGGAAACGGAAGGCAATTGGTATGAAAATGTAGGAACAATGAAATCTGAGACGATGGACCGATATTTTCAAAAGGAACAATCGAGTTTAAGACAATTGATTGATATTTTCCAAATGAAGTTTTTACTGTATTGTTCTCAGATTTTAGTTAGATATTCTGTAATTTTGTGCTCAAAAACATCCGATTATTCCCACAAGTGTTCTTGTTCACTACACTACAGTCACAACCATATAGTGTAAAAGCCACATTTTAAAAATCGATTAACCACAATAACAGGACACAAGATGAATATTAGCATGAGAGATTTGAAGAAATTGTAGTATTTTTACAGTTAATACCACGAACTGATCGTAACTAGGCCACCATTGAAAATCTGGATTTCAACCGTGAAAATACAACAATTTTTACAAATCCCCCATCTTTAATATAGTCATCTGATAACTAGTGACTAGGTTCGGAATATAACTCTCGGAGTTCTAGTGAAACACCATGACGAGTTCAAAACATGTAGGGTGTGAGACAGTTATCCAACACAGGCAACGGATGAAGGCCCAAGATCATAGATTGATTCGAGTTAAAGATTAATACTGTTGGATACTAGTTCAGTGGTCTAAATGTTGAGTGTTTGCACGTGAAACCGAAGGTTCTGGGTTTGAGTTCCAAGTGAGGAATCGTGGATGTGCACTAACGGCATACCATACTAGAACGATGGTATCCAATAGATCGATTTTAAAACATTTAGCCAGCTCAAGTGATTTACCCCCCCCCCCGCTCATGAGAATCACAATGTAAAGCGATCTACAAACTTAGCCAAATTGGCCTAAATGTAGTACCGATCAGAAATTTTTCGTACATTAATTTAAATCGCACTGAAGTAATCAATTCCTCATTTTGCCATGGTGTTAAATGGACTGTTTTAATTGTATATGCTATGATTACCATGAGTTCATTTATTCTACATCTTTTGTTATATTTGTCAAACAGATAATTACCTTTCACACAATTCTCTTTCTTGCACTATTACTTACATACCATATTTCTTGATATTCAAACATTAATCAATTAACTGTTATATCACAATCTGTCTATTTCCATTATACTATAATGTGATACACTATATATTTGATGCTCAATTGTAAAGGAATATGTAAAAATTCTGATTATATAACATTTATTAACTCACTTTTATTCTGGTATGTTAATCCATTTTGATTAGTTTTCTGTTTATTATTATTGTTATTATTCCCATTGGGATTGTCTAATGAAGATTGACCTTTCGATGATGTAGTAGTTTCATCTTCTGTAACAGTAGCAGGAGTAGACGAGGCAGCAATTGTAATACCTTCGGAACAAGATGATTGGCGATGATGATGATGATTAAGTCCTGTATTCCCATGTAATGATTGTGATTGATTAGATGGAAAAAGACTACCAGCTGGTAAAGTTAATCTTGTTTTTGGATCAGCTAATAATAGATAAATTGCTGTGACATTATTAAAACTTTGTTTGATTAAAGCTTCACGAACATCATCCGGTCGATAACCCATAATACGCATAATTTCTAAGTAATAATACAAATCAATATGCATATGAATATTATGAAGAAAAAAAAATCAATTTTCAAAAGAGTAACAATACTATTTTAGTTATGCATACACAGCACAATCTCAAAAATCGACTAATCTATATATATATGGATTTTGGAACTTTCAATAAGAATGCAATTAGCATTAGTTAAGACAAAATATATTTTCGTTGAAAAACTAAAAGATTAATCATTTAATGTTATTGATATTCCATACATTTTATCAATATAGTATAGAAACTATTCGAAATTTGTAGAATTTACAAAATCACATAGTACATACACACACACACACACCGAGAGAGAGAGAGAGATCCACAAAAAACATGAAAGGTCACTAGTGATTAGATAATTTCCAGAAATTTAGTGACAAGATGTTAGTATTGAAGTCCAAATTTGTTGAATATATTATTTATTTTATTTGAACACATAGATATTGGTACGATGAGGCACCGAACAAAGATGCACCACATTTGGTCATTCGATTTGTGTGAAGGATGGGATACTGTTCAAGCACCCAAACTGAAGCAGGTGGTTTTCGTAGGGGGCTACAACTGGAGCCTTCAACTTAAAGATCTGATCCACAGAGCAGTGGAGCAACGTCAGGAGGTGCTGTCCCATGATGTTCGGTGACCAATAATTAGTTCATACGCCATTCGTTCCTTCATGATACTAGAGCCCATTTGCACCACTGGTTTAGAGTCACGGTTTTCCAACTTTCCTAGGTGAACATTCCATATCTACTAAGCCGTTGTCGATTCCGTATATATATATGGATTTTGGAACTTTCAATAAGAATGTAATTAGCATTAGTTAAGACAGAATATAATTTTGTTGAAAACATGAAAGGTCACTAATGATTAGATAATTTCCAGAAATTTAGTGACAATATGTAAGTATTTGTTATAACTGTGACGACAGATTAGAGGGTAGCGAATTATTGATCGGACCAAAGACGCACAAACACGTAGAACGACCTAGGGTTCTGTTTGGTCTCGCTTCCCTGTCTTTGGTCCGATCAAGAATTCGCTACCCTTAATCCGCAGTAAATATTTTTCAGTTATAGCAGTATTGAAGTCCAAATTTGTTGAATATGTTATTTTATTTGAACACATAGATATTGGTACAAAGAGGCATCGAACAAAGATGAGCCACATTTGGTCATTCGATTTGTGTGAAGGATGGGATACTGTTCAAGCACGCAAACTGAAGCAGGTGGTTTTCTTAGGGGGCCTTCAACTTAAAGATCTGATCTACAGAGCAGTGGAGCAACGTCAGGGGGTGCTGTCCCATGATATTCGGTGACCAATAATTGGTTTATACGCCATTCGTTCCTTCATGATACTAGAGCCCATTTGCACCACTGGTTTAGAGTCACGGTTTTCCACTCCATATCTACTAAGCCGTTGTCGATTCCGTATATATATATATATATATATATATATATATATATATGGATTTTGGAACTTTCAATAAGAATGTAATTAGCATTAGTTAAGACAGAATATATTTTTGTTGAAAAACTAAAAGATTAATCATTTAATATTATTGATATTCCATACATTTTATCAATATAGTATAGAAACTATTCGAAATTTGTAGAATTTACACACACACACACACACCGAGAGAGAGAGAGAGAGAGATCCACAAAAAAAACATGAAAGGTCACTAATGATTAGATAATTTCCAGAAATTTAGTGACAAGATGTAAGTATTTGTTATAACTGTGACGACAGATTAGAGGGTAGCGAATTATTGATCGGACCAAAGACGCACAAACACGTAGAACGACCTAGGGTTCTGTTTGGTCTCGCTTCCCTGTCTTTGGTCCGATCAAGAATTCGCTACCCTTAATCCGCAGCAAATATTTTTCAGTTATAGCAGTATTGAAGTCCAAATTTGTTGAATATGTTATTTATTTTATTTGAACACATAGATATTGGTACAATGAGGCACCGAACAAAGATGCACCACATTTGGTCATTCGATTTGTGTGAAGGATGGGATACTGTTCAAGCACCCAGACTGAAGCAGGTGGTTTTCTTAGGGGGCCTTCAACTTAAAGATCTGATCCACAGAGCAGTGGAGCAACGTCAGGGGGTGCTGTCCCATGATATTCGGTGACCATTCGTTCGTTCATGATACTAGAGCCCGTTTGCACCACTGGTTTAGAGTTACGGTTTTCCAACTTTCCTAGGTGAACACTCCATATCTACTAAGCCGTTGTCAATTCCGTAAACAACACCCTTGCCATGAGAAGGCAGTGAATAGGACCTTCCTAGTAGAGGCTATATACATGTGGCCGTGTGAGGCATTTTTCGAGGGAGAGCAGACTCTCTCCACCATACCAAGGCATTTGGGGGCTGTTCAATGTTTAACAATTACTTATCAATAATAGCATTGATTGAAATTAGATAATGTAGACCACTGAAGGCTGATTAAGTGGTCTAATTGTTAAGTTCATAATTCAAGACCTGGAGGTCTTGTGTTAGATTCCAAGTAAAGTTTTGGATTTGAATTGCAAAATAGTCCCACACTAGATCGAACGGTAAACTATAACAAACAACAACACATCCAATACACTACACTACATACAATCGGTTCAAAAATGTTGTTTATTACGATTGTTAAACACAGATGGATATCCTTGATAAATAGTATAATTTTGTAGTATTAAAGCTCATAGTAAACACTTTCAGATTTGAGATTTTAAAAAAAATACAAAACACTCTCTTTATTGTGTTAGTCGTTCGTTCATAAAGTCTCTATGCATAGATGTATTGAAATAATGATCACTGATGACAAAATCAATTTTGTACCGCAGACTATTTCTTTCCCACTTTCTATCTATCTATTAGAGAGAAAAAAGAACATCATATGAATAAACATCTAGTTAGAAAAAAAGGTGGAGAATCTACAAACCTCTTCCCATGTATTCAATGTAAAGATTTACCTAATCTCTCTGTATCATTATAATCCGGAGGTGGTTCAGTATATGGTTTTAAAATATTATCTTCATAGCCAATATTCAACCATTTATCAGACATAACATTCTATAAACAAATTACAAAAAGAAAAAAACCCAATTTAGAATACATTCAAACTGAAATGATGAAAAGTGTTGACAGGAAAATGAGAAAAACCAGAATATCTCATTGTGTATGAGATTATATTACAACGATAGATAGTGGCTAGCAGTGGAATTCCAGACGCGCGTTTCATTCTATTTGGAGTTCGTCAGCTGGATGTACCTGCATTACAGATATGATGTTCATGGTGTTTGAAGCGAATAATACTGAGTTCGAATTCGAGTTTGAGAGTGTACATTAACTTTGAGGTGCAGGAACATCCAGCTGACGACTCCCAAATAAAAAGAAACGTGCGTTCCGGATTCTACTGCTAGCCACTATCCATCTTAGCATATAATACTTGTGAATTAAGGCTATATCGAGCCAATGTCCACAGTATGTAGATATGCCAATAACAGACTGATCAATTGCAGTCCTAAACATCAATAGGAAGATTTCAATAAACAATACTGAAGTGACTGTTATAACGCAGTAAATATCAAGAAAGCTGTAAATCATGGAACCAATTTATGGATTATTATCATAGATATTTTTATTATATAATTAGTATGTAACTGAACTACAAAATTTCTGTATCCCCCTTCACTGGGAGCTTTCTTTGGATCTTTTAATTATTGTTATACATTTTATTATTTCATAATGATTGCTAACTAATTATGCAATCATTTCAACATTCTATACAACCACTAATGGAAAAATGGAATAATAGAGGCCAGCTAAAACTAAACTAACCGATATTACACTAATCGACTAGGGCGGCCTGCTTGAGCATCTGGGCTACCTGTTCCTGCCATCTACATATTTCAACAAGTTTTCTATTGTTGTTTGTTTTAATATATCATTATGTTTATTAATCGCATAACCTATTCTGCTGCGTTTCTGAAAAGTGTACAACCTTTCGTTGTCAAAGTTACAAAAAACTCAATAAGAGACAATATGGTTGCTGGCAATGTACAACGAAAAGAATGTACATTATTCAGATGTTCATTCACTGAAGTGCTAACATCTAACTGGCGATCACTCAATATTTATCGCCAGGACCGACCAAGAAGAAAGAAACGGAAACTTGTTGAAATACTTTGCGCTGAGAATTCTATATTGTACCAAAATTATAATATTGAATAAAGCTGATAATAATAATAATAATCAATAATCAAATAGATATATAAAAGCATTAAAGACTATCGTTCCCAGTGAGAGAAAAAATTCGACAATAACATCAAGTTAAAAACATTGATTTCATCTGGGATCAATTAAAAATTTAGTAGAATGAATCCTTCTTAGTTGAAACACTGTGGATCTCAATGATCAGTTCACAGTTTCGTATAGTTTAATTTTAAACAGCCATATATAGAATTGATAGTATTCAAACGAATCATAAATCATAAAGCTAAGCACCTTGAGTATATATATACATACTACTAAACCCAGTAAATCAGTTATTGATTATTCCAAAATGGTTATATCAGAAGAAATCGATAATAGAACAGAGGGGAAATGAAACATTTACATGAATAATAATTCAATAAAGAACAAATCACTTTTTTTTAAATTTACTTATATAACAAAATAAAATTTTAACTGAAAACTCTGTAGGCATAGCAACAAAATAGAATGAAAAAGATTCGTACTATTATTATTATTTCAGATGCCTATCAACTAACTGAATATAAATATGTGCGCACATAATTGGGATATGAAGAAGAGGACAAACAAGCGAGAAAAATGAAGCGAAAAAAACAAACAAACAAACAGTAAAATCGATATATTTTTTCACAGATCTAATAAATGAAAAGAAACAATTAATCAATTATTTATAAATCAAGACGATGATATAAGCAAAAGAATCTATGTACCTATTTATCTATCTATCTATTCATATATATGCATTCATGATCAACTCTTCACTATAAGAAAATTAAACAATGTCCAATAAATATGTTATATAAGAAATGATAAACAACTTGTTTACACAACTATTTATACCCTTGTTTGGATTGAAACCACACAGTAAACATTTTCACACCATTATTATTATTATTACTGTATTAAATGATAGTTGTGGAACATACCAATAGTGTTTTTAGTTGTATTTATTCTAGTAGATGCAGGTAATAGTAGTATCTAAGATGCACGTTACATGTTGATTAGTACTTGTCACTTAGATGCAATAATCATCCCAATATTTATTTATAAAAACTCGAATTGAACACCTATTGTTTCAAATGCTAACACTTTATCCATTAAGGTAGTGAGTTTAAATAACAACTAATTTATTCATGAAATATGAAGGTAGATAATGATTAAAATCTCAGTATGATTATCAAGATAGGACTAAATGAATGATCGAGATTCGACTGCTAGCCTTCTATAGAATGTGGTAAATAACTTGTGACATAAAAATACATCCAGTAGATGATTTTAAAATGAGTGCATAACACCACAGAATGATCTTTGGAGTCCTGAATAGAAACGATAAGAAATCTTAGACAACCAAAATTATGATGTATATCTGTCTCTCTCCTATCTAGACAAACATATGTAAATGAAAAATATTGCGACTGGAAAAAAAAGTAATTTTAGTAGCTGAGATCCTAAGTCAAGTGAAGCTAGACCATTATAGAAAAACTGAATGTACTGGATGGCCATTTCGTCCTACTGTGGGACTTCTCAGCATTATGCATCCACGATTCATCTAGTGCTTTGAGGTTTTCCATGATGATCTATTTTCTCTTGACCCATGAACTCATCTATTAAAATTACTATAAAATATCCACAAAACCCCCCTTTTGATAGAAAGAAAAAGTGCTTAAATTACAAAAAAAGATAATTTAGTTATGTTTATCAATAAATATTACGTAACAATTTATAAGGACTGTTAACAAAGGGAAAAGCAAGATTCTCCGATGCAACACAGCATGCAACAGTCGAATCACATTTGACAGAGATTTGAAAGATGTAAAAACCTTTACATATCTGGGCAGCATCATTGATGATCACGGTGGATTTGATGCACATGTGAAAAGGCGGGCCAGAAAAGCAAGAGCAACATATTTACAACTGAAGAATATCTGGAACTCAAAACAATTATCAACCAACACCAAGTTCAGAAACCTGAAGAACTACGAAAGCCATCATTCAGAAGATACAAGTGTTCATTGACAGATGTCTACGCAAAATACTTCGGATCCGTTGGTCAAACACTATCAGCAACAACCTACTGTGGGAGAGAACAAACCAGATTTCAGCGGAGGAGGAAATCAAGAAGAAGCGCTAGAAGTGGATAGGACACACAATGAAGAAAGCACATAACTGCGTCACAAAGCAAGCCCTCACTTGAAATCCTCAAGGCCAAAGGAGAAGAGGAAAACCAAAGAACACATTACGCCGGACTTCTGAGTTATATATTTTGTATGATCATCAGTATTCATTCCTATGTTTTGTTAAACTACTAGAATAGAATGATTAATTATATTCCTTGATTATATTTGTCATATAGTGTACGGATAACCATCCCATAAAAGTACATCATCTTATTTGCTTACGCCTGTTACTCCCAATAGAGCATAGGCTGCCGACCAGCATTGTCCAACCCACTCTGTCTTAGACCTTCCAATTTATCAACCAATCAGGAAAATCATGCATATATATAAGAACAAACATCAAAACAATGGGAGACACAACCAAAACAAAGAAGTGAACAATGATAAATTTAAGGTCAACAAGAACCAATCAACATCGAGGTGCACAGAACAAGCTGTGAAACAAATAAGGAGAAAAATCGAACACTTCACTTCTATCTGAAGTTTGTGCTGATGATGTCGTTCAGAAGAACGATGAAAGCTCCACGACCAAACCATCCAGCTCAGAGAACAAAACTCCATCAAAAACGAAACGTATTTAAGGTCAATTACATGTAGAACAGGATTGTCAACACAAAATTAGTATGCTACTAGAGTACGAGCTTCAAATTGATACAGTAGGTGGTCAAATATACATCAAAGCTTAGTCTGGTTAGTGTTTGTTAGCAATGTTTTTCTTCTACGGGATGGGTTTGTTTACCCTATGCCCAACCCTCCTCTTTCAGCCGAGCTTGGTACCGGCAGTAACTGTAGAAGGGCTACAGACCGAGTTATGCATCACATGCACATCAATAATAATAATTATTATTATTAATGACTTTATTCAATATTCTATTTTTGGTACAATATAGAATTCTCAACACAAAATATTTCAACAAGTTCCCTATTCTTATTTCATGATTGAACCTGATGATGAATATTGAATAATCGCTAGTTAGATGATAGTAGTTCGAGAATCTATATCTGAATAATGTTCAATCTTTTCAATGCATATTCCCAGTCAATATGATATCTGTGATTGTACTTTTTTTTGTAACTTGTACAACTAAAAGTTGTAAACTTTCCACAAATGCGTCTATATATAGGTTATGTAATTCATGAAAACAATAATAATAATGTGTTAAAACAAACCAAGAAACAGATAATTTGTTGAAATATCTAGATGATACGAATAGATAGTCCAGATATTCAAACAGATTGTCAAAGTGTATGCAGATTGAATTAATTAGATGAATTATGACTAGTTTGGACAATGGAAAATTGTCTAGACAATGTTAATAATAATAATAATAATAATAATAATAATAATAATAATAATAATAATAATAAGAAGAAGAAGAAGAAGAAGAAGAAGAAGAAGAAGAAGAAGAAGAAGGAGAAGAAGAAGAATAGTCAATTAATAAATGACACAGTATGACTACTTAGCAATAGATTATGACGTGGAATATAATTCACTAGGCAGAGGATATTTTATTTTAGGGGGGGGGGAATAAAATGTTTTTAGAGAAGATCGACAAGTTTAAACAAGTACACAACAACTAAGAAGATAATAAGTGGTTTTTATTAGGAGAAAAAAAATAGGTAGGTAGGTAGGTAAGTAGG